TAGTTTTAAACATTTTTTTAAAATACATTTTATTTGCTTATTGTTTAATAACGTCTCATGTTTCTATATAAAGACATCTAATCCAATACATTATCCTATGTCTTCAGTAATATCTTCCTGTTGTAAAAATCTCCCATCTCTACGATATTTGCACTACTTATTATATTGGCGCTTGCGGTTTTATTTATCTTTATATATATGGTGTGTATTTGTAAAAGGCAGCAGCTGACGGCTGATCGCACAGCTGGTCTTGGTGCGTAGGTTCAGATAGCAGAGCCAGATGTGCGTAGGTAGGAAAGCGCTGAGAGACGCGAGGCCGGACGCCATAGCGCGGCTGCTGTGCAGCCCCTGGCCTCAGCCACCCTCCTTCCTTTGTTGTGTTCTCTCTGTAAGGCACGGCGGCCACTGAGCCCTTCCCTGAGATGGGGGCGGGTGGGGGGGGGATTAGTGTCACATGGCCTCCTCCAGCTAGACACATGACCAGCACCACAGGAGTGCCCAAGGCCAACTTAAAAAAAAGCGTAGCGAGAAAGAACAAACGTCCGGTTTCTCAGACGCTGAGGAATGTTGTCAGCTAGGCCTCCAAACAAACAGTTCCCGCCAGTCCCCGTGAGGCCTGCTCACCTCCTTCGGCTCCCTCTATCTCATCTCATCCTCGCCCTCCTCACTACTCCCACTCCTCAACCCCCCAATCTTTTTTATCACCCTTCTTTTTCTTTATTTCCTTTTTTTTTAAGTATTCCTTCCTCTGCCAGTTGTTGGTCTGGTGTTCGTTACACTTCTGGAAAGTTAAACAGCCCAATTTGCACTTTCGCTATAATTTTAACGAACCGCTTTTTTTTTGTTAAGCCTACACGCATTCCTCAAACAGGAGCGCGCGATGTCATGTAAGTCAATTGGTATACATTTTCTTTTTTTGTCAATACATGTGTCGAAGTTCAAAGGTCTGCAGAAATAAGTGTAGCTGTCATCAGTGCTGGATCATTGTGGAATCTGGTTTCTCAAGAACCTGAACACAACACAGTACGGCTTGTGGTCCGATATGAGCCAATCACACCATTAAAAAGCATGAAGATATCCTCTTGACTTTAAGGCACACACGGACGGTAAATCCTGTATCACAGTGCCATCTTCAGGCAGAAGATGATAAAAGGCAAAAGCGCCTTGTTAGGCTTTTTCTGGTTGAACGGAACCTCATAGAACAACAAGAGTCGACTCCCCCTAGTGGTAAGAAGTAGGAACTGCGGTTTATCTGCCACAGATCAAAGGTCTGAGTAAAAATGTGGGAAAATTATATGAATACTTATAAAATATAAAACAGATTACAGACATGCTCGAAACTCAGCAGCCCGGCCGTGGAATTTCTTACTGCCATATACAAATACTACGAAGTTGTACTACAAATAAGCCTACTACAATGCCAAGCTTCCTTAATATTCAGTCATCCCTCGGTTTTCGCGGATAATTGCTTCCAATACCCCCCGCAGATTCCAAAATCCGCGGATGCTCACGTCCCGTATATAAAACGGCGTAGCACGTTGCTTATAACCTGCCCACATCCTCCGTACACTTTAAACCATTTTTAGATTACTTTTCATACCTAATATAATGCAAATGCTATGTAAATAGTTGTCATACTGTACTGTTTAGAGAACCACGGACAAGAAAAAAAAGATTTCCTGGAATTTTTCTTCCTGAATATTTCCTATTCCCAGTTTCTACGACTTTATCAGAATTCACTTTACGTACTGAAGATTTGTTTCTGCAGTATTGGTGCTTACATTCACAGATAACATAGAACATAAATTAAGTAGAAACAGTAGAATAAAATACTTCTAGGCTGTACAATATACTACCAATAAATATAGACTTTATAATCAAATGAACCAATTTACTCTGTTAGCGTGCAAGGCTATTCACTCTCAGCTAGTTCCACGTTAAGGGTGCATTCAACGCCCGTCCAGTGCGTGTCTGCAGTACAGGTACGGAAGGAGGCCTACCTTACGCGTGCACTGGAGTTTGCGTATTCTCCCAGTGTTGCCATGGTTTCCTGGGTGTACTCCAGTTTCCTCCCACAGTCCAAAGACATGCGGTCAGGCTAACTGGCTTCTCTACCCTACGCATAGTGTGTGACTGTGTGTATGCGTATGGGTCCTGTGATGCACGCTGCTTCCCTGTGACGACCCCCCCCCCCCCCGTGAACCTGACCAGGATAAGCAGTTAGACAGTGGATGAATTTTTTAAATTCCCTTCACGGGGGTGTAGTGGGGGTATGGTTATGGCGCCGGTGTGTGGCTATCGTTGCGACTGGCGTTTCAGATTCAGCCCTGAATTCCCAGAGCGCTGTTCCGTGAGTTTCTCTGCACAGCGGGGAGAAGCACTTGTTTAGGTGTCAGACCGCTTGCTAGGTCTTTTCTCTCTTTCCTCTTTGTTTATAGGGCGGTGCCACGTAACGCCGCTGCCAACTGATGAGTGAGCCCCAGGCGAGCTCCTGATGAGGAAGCGCTCTACGGGCCCCCGCCCGGGGGACGGGAACTTCAGGAGCCCCACACCCTAATCAGCATTCCGTTCAGTTCCTGTACCGACGCCGTTCGGGTCCGCTTTTTCCGGAGGAGAAATCAGGCAATAGCAGAGCAATCATCCGCACAAGGGGAAGCTCTCCTTCCTGCAGGGATAGGGCAGGAAGGCGTCTTCCTCTTCTTCTTACATTCAAGCCAAATCACCTATAAAAATATCTTGAGGACGAGCCAATGTAAAGCTACAGGTGACATTTTACGTCCAGAGGTTTACTTTTCACGTGCAGAGCAAGACAAACTCTGTGTATATAAACTGCGGTCAAATTGCTCATGAGGGAGAGTCTCTCAGGTCCTGCAGGAACGGCGGCGAAGCGGACAGAGACGCCCTACTCCACATCCTGCAGGAACGGCGGCGAAGCGGACAATAAGGCCCTACTCCGCATCCTGTGAACTTCCACGTTCCTCAGAGGAGCTTTGCAGGAACAGGACGTTCCTAAACAAAGACCTTGCTGCCCCCAGAACCTAAGACCCCCGTTGACTGCATGCCACATCATCCAGGTACCATCCAAGGGGACCTCTCTCTTTTTTGCCTGCAACTTTTCTGTGGACCAGCTTAGTGTACACAGACACCGTGTGAGCTAGCACTATTCTGGGCACTGGGATTTAAATGCACTCCACTGATAAGTACAGTTTATTGGCTGGGATGCAAGATTAGCTAATGGGTACAACCACTCAGGGGTCAAGCTATTCATTCTAGGAAAGGAATTTCAAACATACACAATTAGCAACTATAATTGCGACAATTATGAATGAGCATTACAGACGAATCTAATCGGTATATCCTTTATTAACAGCCTGAAAGTTCATACTAGATAACACTCTTGCTCTTACCCTTGAAGGATCACATTATTATTCGGCGTAATTACGCATGTCACTTTTTATTTTTATTTTTTTTACTTCAGATGTTGCTGTGCAAATTGTAATGCACAGATTTAAGGAGAAAGCAGTCTAACAGAGACCTTGCAACACGGTCAATGTCCCTGGCTGGGAACAATAACTAAGCTACGACCTCACAGACACATAAATGGAAAGCATTAAGATATAAAAATACTTGGATACAACTAACACCCTAAATCCACCCCCCCTTCCTCCATGTATTGTCGATCACCTATGTAAAAACCCAATTTATCCAGCATAAGAGCTATTCTCAAGCTGCCAGACGACCAAGACACGCCATGAACCCACCCCAGAATTTCCTTAGTTGGTAATATGATTAGTTGCAATGTGATCAGATTTAAACAGCATTGTAGCTTACACAGCAGCCTAGAGCCACACCTCCCCCCCCATAAAAGGCAGATATCGCAGTACCTAAAGGGGTGGCATAGGGGGGACACAAACCCACCCTTAAGCTGGGATACCAATGGGACTGTAAGGCAGGACGCAGGCAGCAGAATCTGGTCTAGTCAATAGATTGCATCCTTATCCACATGCGCAGGGCTCAGGACCACAATACAAAGTGTTACCGGGCGCTGCAATGACACTGTATTTAGAAATTAAAGAAAAAAAATAAAAATGGACAATGGGTTCTAGAACAGAGTTCTACAGAGATGTGGTTGCATTTCCTGCTGGAGACCAGTCCAGGTCACCGACCGACACTCAGAGCACACCGATTCAGTTCCCTCTAGTGCAGGAACACGGTACTGCGCTCAGCATCAGGGTACTGAACACATCCACTCCCACCCCAAGCCTCTGCCCACAAACAGCAGCTTCAGCGGCGCTAAAACGCAAAACCACAAAGTTTAGTAATAATTTTTATTACACAGTTTAATCAACACAGACGCTCCATGAGCCTTAATTAAATATACAGATGTTTGTCTGTCAGTAACACATAATCTTGCACCCGGAACCTGAGAGAGCACAAGTCATCAAATTTCCAATTCAACAATATCCAAAATGCAACCTTATTTATACGGGAGAGGACTTGTTCAACTAATAACTCCTTCAAATAACTGGTCCATAAACTGCAAACAGTAATCAGCAGTGTGTGTGTGTGTGTATGCATGTGGGTACAGGTGTGTGGTTTGTGTGTGTGTGTGTTTTTCAGGGGGTGCGGAGACTTGGTCACAAGTCAAGTGAGGACAGAAATCCTCCTGAATTCATCAGCAAAATAATGATCGAAGGCTTTTTGTCTCAGAGCTTAACGAGTTATGGATTTAAAAAGAATTCGTTAAGGGTTTATGGGACCAAAACCCCTTCACGTCCAACGCACACACCGGTTGGAAGCACAGGGGAGAACAGGAGTTGTGGGGGGGGG